ATTTTAAAAGCTGGAAAAATAATGAAATATTTTGACATATTAGTTTAAAACCGACTTTGCTGCAATATTCCTGGCAAGGACCCCGCCCGACAAAGTGGAAAGGGAACAGGTCACTCAACAGCTTTGGAATGGAGGGCGTCAAGCCTCTTGTAAAGTCCACCGAGCTTGTTTTTTTTTTTTTAAACTCGCTTTGTCCTGTTCGTTTTGCCGAGACAGTTCGAGATAATCCGCATAATTTGGGTATTGAGTTCCGAAATTAATGAATGGATGTCCAGAGAAAAACTGATCAGACTGGGCATTCGCTGTTTAAGCCATTGAACCAGGTAGTTTATTTATAGATTATTAGCAACACTAAATCACTTCTAATTTGGTTTGCATATGTTGAGTTGAAAATAACGAGTCAGTAGTTTGCGTGCCCCTTTGTAAGATGACTAAAGCTGTTTTTTATCTCTTGGATATTGAAAGCATTTATCTGAACGATGTTTTTCTCATTTCCGTTTTATGGACTAAAGATTGGACTGGACTAGTACACAAGCCTGACAATATTGAATGTTGGACTACTTCTAACAGTTAACATAATTATATGCTGAACGCGCTTGGTTACTTCAATGAGATTCTTTTTCCAAATTCATTGTTCTTTAACAAGAGCTAATAACGTTAATCCTTCAAAGGAAACGTGGTCATGGGAAAGAACGTGACTGAAATGGGAAAATGTTACTCGAATCAGACTGACAGTAAAATACCTCATGCAAATGCAGTTGCACTGAAGCAGTGACACAATAGATATAGAATATCCACTCAGTCTAAAAAGATTCACATTAATCTTCTAACTCCAGGCAGTTTTGCAAATAATGTATACTCAGCTGCTGATAAATTGTGCTTCTTTTAATGTAGCTGCCTGTACTTTTTATCGAGGGCAAAACAAAGTCATCATCTCCGGTCGTTGAAAGCGTCGAACATGACAAACCAATCTCGTGCCATACTGTTTGTATTTCAAACTTCTTTATTTATAATAGATGCTTATACATTAGTTTTGCTTTTATGCCCTATTTATTTAGTATCAATGCACTCACTGACAAGGTGCAATGTCATACGGTCCGCACGGTTATCGTAATAAGTAACACGGGGAGGAAATTTCAGTGCCCCGAGGCTCTCTCAGACAATCAGATATCAAAATAATCTGATTGTCTGAGACGAAATTCGTTCCTTCTTTTTTGTTAATGTTTTGGGTTACAATCGAAATTGACAAAGAATTGCAAGGCACACACAAAAGCGTTTTATTGCATGTCCAGTTACAAATTTTCACTGTCTCGTCACTTGCCAGTGAAAAACTCTCGGACTGCCCTACATGGGAGCCAGTCAGAGTAGTTCCGTAGTCCAGTCCAGTCTGTGAAAGTGTTTTCTGTCAACGTTCGACGGATTGTTGTTTATTTTCTTTACTTTGCAATTACTCTTGTTACCTTCATATCTCAGCGAAGTCACGAACAACCGTTTGCTATCGTTTAGATCAACCAAAGTATGAACGAAATGCTTTTAGCTCCAAAGTGGTTAGAATAGTTTTCGAGGAGTTAGATCATCAAAAATACATTTTGCTTTTTCCTGTCAATACGATCTATTTATATTGGCTTTAATGACATTTTAAGAAGTGATAGCGATGTTTGATGCAAAAGAGCGAGAGATGGTAGCTTCCTGATAAAGAATTTAATAACATCCAGATTTTCGAAACCTGTCACGCCTCACACCCATTTTACTCCTACAGCAGATTTACACTCTCAGTGAGTCAGTGGTACATTAATTATCCTTTGCTATTGCCTCTGTTTTCTGTAGAGAATAAGAGTGTTGCCGAAAAAACTTAGAGACACCGTTCATCCTCTCTTGAAGTTTGAGGGTTGTTTGAATTATCTGATAGCTGTTCATTAGTTAGCTAACGATTTTTAAGTTCCAATTGTGTTGCATTTCAGTCGCATCAAAAGTAATTGAAGTGCTAGAAAACTAGCTGAACTCAGTTTGAGATCGCACGCTTGCCAATGTCAATATTAGAGAACAGGAGTTGCTTCCTTGACATATTGCTTACGATTTCTGCGGTAAGGTACGGCAATGCAAAATGAAATTATACACTTCCTCTTTAACTTCCTCTTGGGTTTATGGAGAACAGTAGAAACAAAACCGCTGCATATCAGACAATTCCGGCGCCTGGTGAGATCTACTACGAGACTATATTTACCTGCAGGAAGGGAGATCATTAGTCGACAGATCATCAGCAAACATTTTATTTTTTGATCAGCCAGCTTTTCTTTCTATAGTTGTGGGTTCCGCACCCTCGAAGACAACTGGAAATGATTGAGGAGCCGAGTGGCATCGGCATGTCTGCAATAGGCTGTTTTGGAAATGGCGCTAAATTAAAACATTTCTTTACGAAAGCAAGTGTACAGATCAACAAGGCTTACTGATAAGATTCGGAGCCAGGAAATTACAGCATCTAAAAAAACTCATATTTCTATAGTTGTGGGTTCTACACCCTGAAGGACAACTTTAAAAGATTGAGGAGACGAATGCCATCGACATGTCTACAATGAGGCTGTTTCGGGAGTGGCGGTAGATTAAAACGTTACAGATCAACAAGGCTTACTGATAAGATTCGGTGCCAGGAAATTACAGCATCTAAAAAAACTCATATTTCTATAGTTATGGGTTCTACACCCTGAAGGACAACTTTAAAAGATTGAGGAGACGAATGCCATCGACATGTCTACAATGAGGCTGTTTCGAGAGTGGCGGTAGATTAAAACGTTACAGATCAACAAGGCTTACGGATAAGATTCGGAGCTCGAGCCAGGAAATTACATTATCTGAGAAACTCATATTGCAACCAACTAGCCCTTCTCACGGTTAACTTTTCTCATTTGCATTTCAATATAATCCAGCATGTTTGTGAGGTAATCCCGGTCAATTTTGTGGTTTCTGCCCGAAATAACCTCGCATCCTCATTGATTGCATCAGTGTAATGCAAATGAGAAAAACTAACCGTGAAAATGGCTATTGGCCAGCATTTTTGGACACCAATAACAATAAAAGTATATTTAGGTTTGGAACAAGTAGTTTACTTAATAGCATGCATATTTATCTACCTGACACCGTCAGTAAGATTAATAGTGTGCAATAACAGTGTCTTGCTTTCTTTCAACTTTTTTTTTGGCAACTATACGAGGTCACAATGAGCTTATTTATTCTTGTAGTTAAGTTCTTTGGTGTCAGCTATTTAGTGGACTCCTTTTCATGCTGCATGTGCGTTGTGCGGTCCGTCGCTCGCTCCTTGTGTTGGGATAAGCCTCCCCTCGTTTGAGGCGGGCAATTATTGGCCAAGTAATCGTTCCCTGAGGGGCCCTTATCTCGGAGGTCGCGAAAAGTTTTCGCACCCGGAAAGCGGGTCCGGAGAGCCGTAGCAAAATCTCAATCCTTATGATTACAGAACTGTTTTATTCACATATTCGTAATATGTACAGAGGTTCCCTTCATACGAGAAGTTTCAGGCGTATGCACCTCTTATTTTTCGAAAAGATTAACTATGAAAAGGCCTTTAATTTGCGGGCCCGAAAAGGTTTCCGGGCTTTCGAGAAACTACATTCGCGCCGGGATTCGGGCACTCGATATTTTACTTTGCGTGTCGCGTGTCTTCGTGTACTACTTGCGTGTGATATGACAGCACGCACTTACTTGGTATCCATAATACGCGTGTCGAACTCGAATATTTTTCTTGGATATACTTACGGTCCATTTAGACAACTAACAGTTGCTTTATGACGTTGTCAAAAGCTTAAAACAGAGTCATGGCCAAAGTTAAACAATTTAAGTTAATTCAAGTGAAAATCGATGACGGACGCTGTTATTTAATCAGATTTAATATTCGTGACCGAAATGATGACTAGAAGAAGGCGAAAGCATTTTACAGGCGTACACCGTAAGCATTACGACCCAGCTCAAAGCTATGTTCTGAGTTCCTATGCAGCTTTAGTATGTATATGTATTTTTTTTTTTTATAAATTTGAATAGACATGTATGTGTATACGCATGTATGTATGTATGAGAAGTAGTCAATCGAACGAGAAACACACCTATATACTCGGCTTCAACTACTCAACCGCAGCAGATGACTCAGTTTTAATCGACTTGTGAATACCTTAAAGGAGCTCAGTCACGGTTTGCGCATATTGAAAAGTT